GCGACGCACATGCACATTTACTAATTATCAGAAGTGTGTAGATATATTTAGAAGAAACTGTTTTAACCCATAACTATTAAGAACATGTCAAGAATCTCCAACATAACTCAAACAATAAAGCCTGATTTAATGGTTGAAAGTCCTTGAACCTAAGATCACCTAAACATTTGGATGTACAACAAAAATCCCAATACTTCAAATAAACATGATGAGTATCTTTCTTATAGTCCCACAAAAACTTTTTTTGTCAATGAGATAAGTTTATCACAATAGCTTTGAGGAAATAATTTTGTAGACATAACAACAGGGAGTGAAGTATCTGTGCTTTATGTTAGAACTGCTCATCCAGAATGAGAAAGCAATCCATTCTTTGATCCCTCTATACGAGATTTGAGTTTTCCAAAGTCCTACTAAAATCATCCTTGCAACTCTGGGTATCATGAAAATTACAACCAAGATACACTTCACTCTAATTCATAGGCTTCGGTCCAAAATAATGTGTTGACCTTTATCTGCCTTGGCGATGTACATTCTTGCTAAAATAAATACCAAGATTTTTCATAACTTGTTGGCCCGACTAGTTACAAAAAGTTTCAAGAATGGACTTAATATGAGATGCACGGTAATGTGCAACAGATCGAGTAGAATCGATTTTCAATTTTTCATATAGGCTGTGTTTGGTTGCTGTGTAATTTTATTTGCACTAATATTAAAACATGCAAGTGCAAATATAAAAAATGCAAATTCTTGTTTAATTTTGTTTTGGATTTTACTTTATTCTATTTTGTCTTAATTTACTTCATTTGTATTGCGATCAAACAAAATAAGCTAAAAATTAAAACAAAAATACGTTAGAATCTTACACTCAAATCATTTGCACTGCCATGGTTTAGATTTATTTGTATTTCAATGCAAATTTATTTGCATTGAAACCAAACACAACCATAGTAATTTTTGCCAAAGCATTGCCGGTCAACTCTATGACTTTTGGTATATCTAATGACTTACTGATATTATTCTATTGCCAAATTTGCATTTTTCATACAAATTAAGATCCTTCTATATGGTCTCATCAAATCCAAGTTGTTGGCAGCCCTAGGTGTCGTAACATGTTCAATCTTTTCCTTCGTTTAGCAAATTTTGACCTCATGGGACAATTTCGCTTTCTTTTTCATTCATCCTGACAAAAAAAGTGTTAAAAAATTTAGTTGGAATTTTTATAGCTCAAAGCCTAAGATTTTGTATTAAAACATGGATTAGTTCTTATTAGGGGTGATCATTTTCAGACCAGTCCGGAAATTCCAGGCTTGGACCTGGGTTTTGTGTTCAGGCCCAGTCCGGGCCCGGGCCCACATCAGGCCCACAAATTTTAGTTTTAAGCTTGGGCTTAACAGGTCAAACTCGGTCCGCATATATTTAAACTTACACATTTTGTGTATAACGTATACATATGTATACAAATTATTTTATATTATATTATATATTTTATATATAAATATTATAGCATTCACATGTATATTTTATATTATAATATATAAAATAAATTTATATGCATGTTATGTCATTTAATATAAAATATTATAGATATGTAATGTTTTATATATATGAAAGACATTGGCCCAGACCTAGGCCCGGCTCAGCCCGGGCCCGTGTAAACTTGGGCTAGGGCTTATGTTTCAAGCCCAAAACCTCGGGCCGGCTTGAGCCTGGGCCTAAGCTATAGCCCTTATCATAAGTGCAAAGCCCGACCCATGATCACCCCTAGTTTTTATTGAATGCAAATAAATTTACATTGATGTAAAACCATGACAATACAAATTATTTGAGTGTATATTCTAACCTATTTTTGTTTCAAATTTTAGTTTATTTTGTTTGATTTTAGTACAAATGAAGTAAATCAAGACATAAAGCAGAATAAAGTAAAATTCAAAACAAAATTAAACAAGAAATTATATTTTTTACATTTGCACTCCCATGCATTTGTACTAGTGCAAATAAATTTGCACTGCAACCAAATACAACCTAAAGGGAAGAAACAAACCTGTGATTTTTGGATTCATGGGCTACACAAATTAAAAACTAGGGTAAATACAAAAACCTCCATTGAAATTTCTGACAATCATAAAAACCTTTCCTATAGTTTCATTTTAACAAAAACCTCCCCTTTATTTTTGACAAAATTAACAAATACCTCCCTTCCGTCAATGACCAAGACGAAAAACATTAAAGAGATGATCATTTTTTTCAGAATACCTATTTTACTCTTTCTCGAACACTGTTCATCTTCTTCCCCGTTCGAACCTAGAAGTAAAGGCAACGGCGGCACCCCTCTAAATCCGATCTCTTCCTCTTTTCTAATCTCTCATCTTCTTTAGCCTCTTGTTCTTTTCCTTTTTCCTTTTCTCTGTCCCAGCGGATTAGAACTCAGCATTGATCCACCTTCTCCCCCGTCCACGCTCCCTCTCTTTCTTCTCCATCTCTTTTTTTCTTGTTCTTCCTCCTTCCCCTGTCAACATCCATTTTCGGATCGCTTTATGGGTTCGAACAGAGAAGAAGATGAAATTGTTTACCACACCACATAGGCATAGGCATAGGCATAGGGTGCCCTTGGTTTTCAAATTGTGTTTTTTTTCTTTTTGACTGATGAGTAATGACTACTACATGGCTTAACATGTTTCTCGATTAGAAAACTCCTCAGTCATCAAAACTCAAAAGCAGATCCGTGAAATCCAAATTCCTTCTTTAACCTTAACTCAGAAGTCTTTCCGAATCCACGATTCCACAAACACGAACGAGATTCCGGATCCGAAGTCCTCCCAAGTCCTAACTCCACGATTATCATCTTGTTTTCTTCAGAACTTCTATTTATTAATTTCTTGTGTAATCATTTTTAGATCAAAACCAAGGGCACCCTTTCTTCCCTATGGTAGAAAACAGGGGCGATGGAAGGGGATAATGCCAGAAGAAGAAGAAGAAGAAGAAGAAGAACGGAAAAGAACAAGAAGCCGAAGAAGATGAGAGAAGAGGAAGAGATCGGATTTAGAGGGGTGCTACCGCTGCCTCTACTTCTGGGTTTGAACGAGGAAGAAAATGAATAATGTTCGAGAAAGGGTAAAATAGGTATTTTGAAAAAATGATAATCTCTTTAACATTTTAGGTCTTGGTCATTGATGGAAGGGAGGTATTTATTAATTTTGTCAAATATAGAGGGAGGTTTTTACTAAAATAAAACTATAGGGGAGATTTTTATGATTGTCATAAACTTTAAAGGAGGTTTTTGTATTTTACCCTAAAAATAAATAAATATTAGGGCAAATTTCTTAAACTACTCCTATTTAACTAATTGACAAAGTGTATCCTTATTATATAACTATTGTCTTACACCACCCCTAATTTATTTAACTGAAAAAGGCAAAAAGATTATTTTACCCTTTATCCTCTTTCAAATTTTCAAAATAAAAGAAGAAAAAAAGGGATAGAGAGATACACGTCTAGAGAGAGGGAGGGAGTGTGTACACAAAGAGAGAGAGAGAGAGTACTCTTCATACAGCTCCGGTGCTATGAACTCTAGTTTGTGTTTCTCTATGAAACGTCTGGTTCGATAAGTTGCAGTTTATTGGTATGTGTTATCTTTGAAAGTTTAAATCAGATTTATTCCAACGAAAGATAAATTCTTGGACCGTGAAAGCAATAGAGACTTGCAAGTTGAAACCTTCAACGAACATCAAACAACAGATGGTGACCTCTCAAAAAATGTTGATTTATGTTACATGTGACAATGACAAGCTTGAAGAACAATCAGTTGAAACATTACTTGCTAATGCAGATGCCTTGGAACCATATGTTGATTTATGTTTCACTGTTCGCATTCGTCATAATCCGCGTTCACGACAAAATAATGCCATCATTGGTCAAGATTTTGTTTAAGAAATATGTATACAGAAAAGATAGAATTTCATCCACCACCTGTAACTAGAGAAGGATGCAATGCAATGTTAAAAGCTAGCTCTATGAGATGGAGTGAAGTGGGTTGTTACCAAATTTGTAAAAGAGCAGAGCATAGTCACAAGTTAATGAGTCCTGGCCAGGGCGGTGATCGGAAAGGATTTTAATCAGTGAGGATGAGAAAGATAAGAAAATTCGAGAATTGTCCCTCGAGTTATACAATTAAAAACGGTGATGCCAACGACGCTGTGCGCCTGTGCAACATATCAGGAACAACTGAACATGATCTTGAAAGATGTGGAAGACCACACTCAACATCTATCGAACCAGATGTTTCCCAATCACAGAAGCAGGAAACCAAGCAACTCGAAAATTAAGAAATCTGTCTCCACAAGCTCAATGTTTAATCCTTAGATCTCTCGGCACTCGATTTCACACAATTTCTTAGATTTGAAAGTAGATTTGGGCCTGGGGCAGAACGGAGCGGTGAGAGAAGAAGCAGGACAAAAGAGCGACAAGAAAAATCAAGGCAGAGTAGACTGAGGGCCCTGATAGATATCTTTTTACCCAAATCTAAAAATTGCCATGGATGATCAAAAGAGCCAGGCCAAGTTAAAGGGTAATATTGGATTTAAAAAAAAATTATACGTATACGGATTTTAACGGAACATTAACGAACGCTTACTGACAGAAATAGAGAGAGTCAATTATCACTTTATCAGACAGGAGTGGTTAATACAAATACAATAGTGAAACAAGGGTACAGTTTGTAAATTAACTAAACCGTGGGCTCTCTTAAATAAAGTACACATCGGAAGACCACCTGATTCACGTCCCACGCGACGCCACCAACCGACCACGGTAGAAAATTTTAACCAGTGCAGCGGCAGGCAGCCGTCTATTTTGAGTCTGTACTGATAGTTTGATACCTGCACCTGCAGATCCCATGGGCCATGGATTTCGTGATGGAAACCCAGAATAGAGTCATAAAAAATGGTCTGATCGCTACTGTGAAACTAGACCAACGTCCACGTTTTCATTTCGTTCACCACTCCACTCCACTGTGAAACTAGACCCTATAACTAACCGCTAAATCATGTCTATTGGCAATGACAGAGCTTTGTTGTTGTCTCCGACTCTCCTCAGCCTCTCTCTCTCTCTATCTCATCTCTTTCTCTGAATTTCAAACCAAAACTGAACAACCCACGTACAGGAGGACCCACGTTTTGTAAAGCTCTTCGTTTTCCACCAACCAGACGAACCTTACAATGCTAGTCTAGGAGAGCCTATCCATCCACATTAATCCAATTCCCGTGAAATTATAAGCTTCTTCCCACGAGTCCATGACTCATTAAAAAGTTCATTTACAGTGCCTCGTGTCTGTAGTTTATTTCACAGTTTCACTTGGAGGCTATTAATAAAGTGAAAATTTAAATCTTAACAGCATATTTATTTTTTGAAAATTGACCGTTCGTATGGTGTAATATGTACTTCACGTGTACCTTTTCTTTCGCCATTATAATCAATTTCTCCTTCTTTCCACTTCATCATCTGATGATTTTGCTTGCTAACCTTATCTTTTCTTTTGTTTCTCTGTTTGCTTATAAATAAGTGTGCTTGAATCTTTCTCTGCAAACGCTGCTCTTCACCATTGTTCCTTCTTTGCCACGTTTCTCTGTTTGCTTATAAGTAACCATTACGTTTTGTTTATCTTTGGATCTTTTGATGTTTTGTTTGTCTTTGGATCTCTTAATGCTTTACAAGAACTGGGTCTTATTGGGAAGTTGTGTGAGTGACTTCTGAAAGTTTGAGCTCGCTTTTAACTATTTCAGGTTGGATTTATTTTATCTTTCCTTTTCCCCTTGTGGTGTTAGGGATCTGGAGCTTCCAGTTGAAAGGTTTCTGCAAGTGGGTTCTGGTCAAAATTTGAATTTTGGGAAGTTAGTAAAGAGGAATTACAGAAATATTTTGGCTAGTTGTCATCATATAATTTTTTATTGGGATTCATTTAGGTGTTGTTTTTTGGGTATTGGGCTATCTTCTGATAGAAAGCTTTGGTGTTCTTCTGGATAGTTCTATGAAAGTCAGGTTCCATTTTTTATGTTTTCTGCATTTGGCTGTGTTTATGTGATGCAAACCTGATGGGTTTCAAGGAATTTCGTGAATTTCAGGTAGACTCCAGGTTTTAAGCAATCCCTGTTCTGAAGTTTAGACGTTTTACCATCAGTCTCTCCATTTGCTCTTACGTTTTCCTTCAAGAGTCAGTTTCATTCGTGGCGTGGTTTTCTATAAATCCATTTTTAGCGCTATGGTAATCAAACGGTGAAAATAAGGGTGTGTGGTTTGTATTCTTATTCTTATTTTCTATTACCAAAAAAAAAAAAAAAGTTTGTATTCTCATTTTGGCTCTGATTCAAGAGAAGTAGATTTCTCACAAGAAACGTGTTGGGGGAAGCTCAGGTTCTCAACTGTTAAAGTGACTGTAGGTTCCTTAGTTGATCTTGATTAGCTCCTACCTCCTTTCTGTTTCAGGGGGTGTTCTTAATCTTGTCTCCAAGCCTTGTCAATCAATGTAGGAATGCTTTCTTGTTTTTCATGACCTTTTGCTATTTTTGAGATGGGTCCATCCGCAGAAGTCTGGGATCAGAGAACAGCGATTGAAGTTACCAAGGACTGGAATGGAATCGATCAGGTCTTGCTTCGTACCCCACGAGGGGCTTCTGCTCGGGTTAGATCATTTACTTCCTTTTGGCATTGTTTGGTGGTTGGTTTCAAATTGTCTAAGAACTTGAGATTGTTGTGGAAATTTTCCTGTTTATCTCTTGATATTTCTCTTGTATACTTTGGATTCCAGGTTAGCTTGCATGGAGGACAGGTCATTTCATGGAGGAACGAGAGCGGGGAAGAAATGCTCTTCATGAGTAGCAAGGTATACTTGGATTCCTCTTCTCTCGTTCTGATGCATTGTACTATCATGTTCTGTTTAGTATCTGAATGGAGCTGTCATATCTTTCTGATGATCTTCTCAAGCTTTGAAACTGTCTTATGGAAAATCGCTTGCTTGGACAAAACCCCCTGCAGCTATGTTATGCATCTTCATTCTTCTTAATATAAAAGATTTTTATTAAAAATAAAGAAAAATGGGATTGTTCCTCTTCTTCCTCCTCCCCCTCCTTCGTCCCCCTCCTCTTAAGGAGGCCTACGCCTCTTACATTCCTAACTACACCTCACGCCTCCAGGTAGTGGAATGCCTCACATCACACCCTCGGCCTTTTAAAACATTGATTACAAAGTCTACATTGGCAGTTCTAAATATCTATATTACAAAACTAATATGCTAGTTCAGATAACATGTAATTTTTTTTCTTTTTTTCTTTCTCATTACCTATGCTATTCATGGAGTAGGAAATTTCATCCTTGTTGATGCCCTTATGCCTACCTATTTATGCACTCACTAGATGATTCATTGGGTCACCTTTCTCTTTTGGATGGATAAGTAATGATTTGTACGGTTTTAGCTCTTTGATTAAGAAAAAGATAAAGGTCAAATGGATGAAAGAAATTTGCAGTTAAAACTTGGCAATAACAGCCTTTATAATGGGTGAACAGATTATCCATTTAGTGCTGTTCCCATCTCATGGCCTATCCAAGAGGTTGCCAGCATATTTTTGTACTAATTTGCCCGTGGCCATGTACATAAATGGCATGTTTAGGAATACAGGACCTGAGAACTGTTTCATTTTTTCAGGCATTCATATATGACACAATTAGTCTTGTTAATTGAAGGTTTAGTGGTAGACTGGTGGTGCTTAATTACTGATTTTACTGCCATATATGATTAATCTAAATGTGCACAAGTAGAAAATGTCAAGGAATGATAGTTCACTGAAAATCAATGTAATCTAAGAGAAAAAGCAATTATTATCATTCACTACTACATAAAAATGTCATGGAATAAAATATGATAACCATAACTCGATCTGAAATGTGTGAACGAATTCAAGGGAAAATTTTTTTAGATATTTCCAACCTAGGAAGCGATCTATCATTTGGATGGGTGTGAATTTGTCACCACAAGCAGTAGTGGCTTATTCTCAACAATTGAATGTAGACAAACCCCAACAAAGAAAGGATGAATTATATGAAGAGAACCCAAGAAAATAAAAGGATGTTTCAGGTTAAATGAGAGATTACTATATATTAACTGCTTGTAGTAACAACACTAACAACTATTACCAAAAAGCTACTAGTAATATATCACCACATACATTTGACCCTTCAGGAGGACACACACACACATACATTCTAAAACCTGTAAGAGATGGCCATATGCATTTTATTCTGTTTCCTAATCATTTTTCCAATCCAGTTTTTCATTTTTAATCTACTGTAGGCAATCTTTAAACCACCAAAAGCAATGCGAGGAGGAATTCCTATTTGTTTTCCACAGGTAACTCCAGGCAAACTCATAGATATTAAGGCCCATTATCAATGTTGATCACTTCCAACTGATGGTCTGCATTTCACTTTGAAGTTTGGTAACTGTGGATCATTGGAGCAACATGGATTTGTAAGAAACAAGATTTGGACCGTTGATGATAATCCTCCACACTTACACCTCAATGATTCCAAAGGAAAGTCTTCTATTGACTTGATACTCAAGCCATCTGAAGAAGATCTGAAGTACTGGCCTCACAGGTATTGAATTGATTATTATAGTGTGAAGTGATCGATTGGATTTAGGAACTTTTGTTCTCAATATAGGACATCAGTGATTGTCTTGATCTGCTGAGCTGTTGCTTCACTGGCTTCAGCCTCGATTCACTCTCTGAGCTGAGCAGCAGCTTCCTCTCTGTTTTCAGATTGATGGTGCATATCTCAGCCATTAGTGATGAAGCTAAGCAGTGTCCAATCAGACCTCTCTATTAGCCAGCTCAATATGCAAGTTCAAGTAAAAATTCCAGGCATTTTAATTTCTATGCTCAGAATGCTTAGTGTACAAATCCGCCTATAGCCACTGTTTCTCATTTATATATATATATATATATATATATATATAAGAGAGAGAGAGAGAGAAATTGATCAATAACATGTAACTTCATTGAACTTAATTTGAAAAGAGATTACATACAAACAAAGGGAGGTGAGCTGTCTTAACTCCCCCACAAGCAAAAAAAAAAAATACAATATTAGAATAAGCCCCAAAAAAGAATCCCTATTCACCCCTTGCTTGGCTAGCCCATCAGAAAAAGAGTTAGCAGATCTCTTCACCCATCTGCATTTCATCTCAATATCCTTAACCAACCACTTGAACTTTTCCTTTCATTGTTGTAGTCCCACATTCCATACTTATCTTCCTTTAACCATCTTACCACCACCTCCCAGTCACTTTGATTTATCAGCCTCCTAATGTTCAAATCTCTTGCTCTTTGGATTCCTTCCAAGGCTGCAAATATCTCAACCATGAGAGAGTCACCTTCTCCAATTGGACCTAAGTACAAAGCTAAAACATTCCCCTCCTCAATCTTTTAAACTCCCCCAATACTTGACTGCCCTGGATTCCCAATGCTACTGCCATCAAAATTCAGTTTTATGAAGCCAAAGGGGGGAGAGACCCAAGGACTTGTGGCCCTCTTAATCTGGGCAGAATTTGCTATCTCTTTCCAGTTTCTCAACAGATCATCCAAGGTAAAATCTGTGAATAGCTCCAAGGATTTCAGCCATTGTGCCACCCTTATATGGATCAAGTCTATTAAGTTCTCAATACTTCTCTCCTTTTCTGAGAAAATTCTTGAATTTTTTTCTTCCCATAGAGTCCAACATACAACAACCCTAATACACTTCCACATGATCCTACCTCTTTTGACTGACCAACTGAAAAAAGATGGAGAAAATAGGCTTTGTACATTCATTGGGGGGTTCCAACCATACCTAAAAAGGGAGAAAGCCCATTCCCATGCAGTTTTAGCAAAAGGGCAAGACACTAATAGGTGCTACCCAGTTTCCCCATCAGTTTCGCAGAGAGTGCACCTGTGTGGGGATAAACAAGTCTTCGGTCTCTTTCTTTGAAGTAGATAACTTTTGTTGGTTCTTTCTAGGAAAGTTTCCCAACCAAAATTCTCAACCCAAGGAGGAATAGGCTTGCACCATACCTCTTTAACAGGGAAAGACATACCAAGGGGAGCAGGAGGCTGAGTTAAGGTTTTAAAAAATGAGGCACAAGAGAATGATCCTGAGGGGGAGGAGGTCCAAAGTCTGCAATCTTCCTTTGAAGGGTCCAAGAAAACATTTTCTAGAGTAGCCAATATGGTCAAGGTGCTACCTAATTCTATATTCCTAACAACCCTTGTCAAGCTCAAATTCTACCCAAATCCAGAGGTTGCAGCTGAAGGAAATAGGAATGATGAAATGGGCTCATTTTTTAAGTCAGAGAGAGTATACAAGGAAGGTAAATAATTCATCAAAGGAGAATGCCCAACCTAAGTTTGTTCCCAAAATTTTATGAGGTTATATGAATTCAAATCATACCTGATCCACGGGGAGAAAACTGGTAGAAGGTTATGGATGGCTTTTCTATGGAGAAGCACATGTAGTCCTTGCTAGAATTCCAAGATCCCAGCCATTCTAAGGGGAACCTCCATAGCCACTTCCCCATTAATGCTATATTCCTTTTCCTAATATTCCCAATCCTAAGACCTCCTTTCTTCTTGCTTCTAGTTACCACCTCCTAACCCACTCTATGGTCCCTCTTTTCTTCTCCTAGCTCCCACAAAAAATCCCTCATCAACGTTTCCAATTAGCCTTGTCCCAACTACATGCGGTGACTGCATGAGACATGAATCCCGTTCCACCTGTCAGCTCTGTTCATTGTCATATCCATTCTTAAATTATTGCCCCTTAAAAAATTTCTCTACTTCAACCCATGCCCTTTTTTGTCTGCCCCTAGATCTTCTAGACCCTTCAACTTGTAACAGATCACTCTTTTCACTGGTGCTGTAGATGGTCTTTTCTGCATGTGGCTAATATCTCTATTGGAATATATTAACCAGTGCCTCGTACCATGGAAACAGTGGCATTTAACCACCATGAAGAACTTCTGGTACATAGCTCCCAATGGAAAGACCTAAGGTCTGACGGTGTAAAATACAGGTCACATAATCCAGAAACATATAAGCATGAACAACAAGGAAAGGATTTGGGAATCCCTACCATTCCTCACTTCTCACCTATACCCTTGATGCTGAAAATTAATCTTATCAGTTGGTCATAAGGCCAGTCAGGTTATTTTCCTGAGCTTGTACTAGGGATACCTTACACACCACTTACCTAATGTTGGCCATGACCCAAATGTTTGCATGCAGATGTAGCTTTAGATATTTATTTGCATGTTTGTTGGAGTTTATCTTTTCTTTTTATGTCAAGGTATGATGTTCCACTGAATATAATGGATGACCCTTGGGCTTTTCAGTTACGAGTTTCGCCTTAGGGTGTCTCTTACAACAGATGGTGATCTCATCATGATATCCCGAATCAGGAACATCAGTGGAAAGCCGTTTAGTTTCTTATTCGCTTATCATACATATCTCTCTGTCTCTGACATAAGGTACCATGCATACTCTGTTCCTATTGGACTAGAGTCTTACTGTGTTTTCATCTTCTGTTGTTGGAACGCCAAGGTTTGAACTCTCTGTTCTTATTTCTTGCATATCATTTGACATTTGACATTAGACCACCTATTTTTCCATGTAGAGGGAAAATCCAGACCATTAATCAGATAGGGAACCTACTGGATTGGGCATGTGTTTCATATCATGATCTATATCTGCCCTATAACCAACCCTGTGAGTTTTTTTGCCAAATTGATACTAGCCATCTATACCTAAACTTTTTAATGTAATATTTGTGCACAAGAAAATCTCAATTTTAACCATGTGGCAAAGTATTTTAAGTCTTCTTTTTTCCATGAATAAAGGGTGGAGATAAGAATATGGTGACTCTTGCCAGGTTGAAGATTCCTAGGTGATTTAGGAAAGCTCACTAAATGATCCGACTTAAAAAGAAAAAAAATTCTGCTATGTAGAGGTACCTTACTAGCCACAGAACAGGATGCTTGTACCTACTTTAATAGGCTAAAAAGGGAGATAAAAACAGAAAGGAAAAGCAAAACCTTGGGCCTATTATGTCCAAATACCAGTAAATGTAAAGATCAGAAAAGTCTGTTACAAGTTTATATTAATAAGCACCATAAAACAGATAAAAGTTATATGAGGAAAAACATAATAACATTTTGTACCGTGGTTATTCTTCTTTTATTTTCTTTGTTTGAGAGAACAAAGAAAAAGACGAACCATGTTTTTTCCTGATGGTTTTTTGGTCAGTGTGGAGAAACAAGAAATGAAACCTATATTACCCAGATATGACAAGGATACAGCTGGACACTGTTGAATGCGAAATTTACATTAAAAATTGAAATGTCTTCGTATATCATTCACTATGCAATGTCAATAGGTATCTGGGTATCATAGAAAGAAATACTTCTTGCATCAATCAAAATTAAAAAAAAAAAGGAAAAAGATACAAGTTTCCTGTACAAAAACTTTTAATATGCTCTTACCTGCATTAAGTAGGTTAGCAACAAGAGGTTTTCTGGATCACATCAGGAACCATAATAACATCAAGAAGCCATTGTAGGAATTAATGATCATCTTAATTTATTTGAATAAACTATATCCTGTTTTCTACTTATTGTAGTGGATGGTTTTGGTAGAGTTTTATTTGTCCATTTGTAGTTATGGCTATGCAAATAACTTACATTTACAGTGAAGTAAGGATAGAAGGGTTGGAGACACTTGACTATCTGGACAACCTCAGCCAGAGAGAACGTTTTACCGAACAAGGAGATGCCATTACATTTGAATCTGAGGTAATTCCTTTGAGTAATATGAGTAGTTAGTTCATTGGAAGTATTGTTGTAGGGAAGTAATTGACCTGAGGAGAACCATATCTTAGAGAATTGTGTGCTTAGAAATGATGGTTTAACCCAAAAATTCCAATTAAAGGAGGATTTTTAAAATTTACAAATATGTTTATCATTTGCAATTTGCTAGGGCCTCGGTATCCATTTTCTTCCCAAGGGACTTGTTGTGGGAGCTTTCTTGCATGTTCTGTCAGAAACTGTTCTCTTCCTCAGATTAGCAAAAATACTTTTGATTGCATTAATTATGGGGTATGCTAAGGGCTCTGCTCTTACAATAATTTTCTATTGTGCAGGTTGATCGAGTTTATCTCAGTTCGCCAAATGTAATTGCTGTCCTTGACCATGAAAAGAAGCGGACTTTTGTCATAAGAAAGGAGGGGCTTCCAGATGTTGGTATGCTATCTTTTCTGTGGTCAACTTTAAATGTAATAATTGTAATCATCATCATGGCATGAATTCTAACATTGGCTACTAATTAGTAATTACACCGTTGTGGTGTCTTTTATTTGCTGCATCTCTACTGATTTCAGACTGTCCACTTGATGTAACCTATTTGATTCAAACCCACTAGTGTCACTAACTTCACATGTAGTTACTGGTCTAGATCACTTCTCTAAGCCTTTGGAGGTTTCATGTACAGTGGTATGGAATCCATGGGAGAAGAAATCTAAATCCATGGTAGATTTTGGCGATGAAGAATACAAACAAATGCTTTGTGTTGATGGTGCAGCAATTGAGAGGCCCATCACCTTGAAGTCAGGCGAGGAATGGAAAGGACAGTTGGAGCTTTCTGTTGTCCCTTCAAGTTTCTGCAGTGAGCAGCTTGATTCCCACTGGAGAGGCTTCTGATGTTTGAAGCAGACTCATAGTAGGATTCACTTATTGCATTAACTGTTTGTTTTGACACCAAAGGTTACATGTAGTTTGGATCTAAATGAAAACACGATCAATTGTACACCCAACCATGGTCATGAAAAATCATGTAATGTCAATGAAACGTGGAAAAAAAAATTATCAATACCCAGTTTTTTGAAGGAACCAAAGATTAAAAGGCATAGCCAAGCTGACTCAAGACTTGCCAACTTTGTTGAACTAGTTGTGTTTTCATATTGGCAATATTCTTCTTGTATTCTAGCAAAAGGAAGTTGGCTTGGAGCAGGCACAACACAAAATCAGTAAAACCTTCAAACTCCATGTTTGTTTCTGAATATAGAGCCACCCTCCAAAACAGATGAATTGCAATAATGGGGGACCAGTTCAAGTCAGAGCATGATCCATACGTATCAAGGTTTAGACTTTGAAGTATTGAAATGGGTTTTGAGGCTAGCGTCATGTGACATGGGTGAAATGGCCCAGTTCATTGCTTCTAAAGAAAAATGAACTCAGGGAATAAGAAGATCCACAATAATCATGCAATATCTCAATTTTTCCACCATTTTCCTCAATGTTTCATAGGTGTATCCTGATGGTTCATATTCCACATAATGTCGAGGTTCTAATAAACTCAGGAATAAGATAAGGATTGATGAGTAGAAAAATGGAAAGAAAACTCAAAATAGAACATAGAAAGAAAAAACAAAGATTTATGTGGTTCAGCTTATAGTTCACGTGCACGGGTGTTGGAGGAGAAGGGAGATTTACAGTTACAGTGTTTACAGCTTCCCACCAAACCTAGCTCCTAATACACCCAAAGTTCACACTTCCCCTGTTTCTCTCACACTCTCTTGTTCTCTTTCTTAGGCTTCAAGATACAAGATGACTTTCTGTGCAAGGTACAAGGCTATTTATATGAGAAAACCTCTAAAATGGAATGGTCCTCACAAACAGTCAAGAAAGTGATCTCATGCCTCACGTGAGATCACCCTTGCAAGCCCAATAATATTAGTGAGTCCTAGATGCAATATCAGCTTGCGATACCAGGCTATCACAAGTTTGAAGGGCTAGTGAGTTTGAAATCCTGTGAGATCAGCTATGCTGCAAGATCCACCTGTTTGCGATCACCACAGACTACTATGAAATTTTTCCTTCAAGTTTTTCTTAACTTTATTCGGGTCAGGTCATGGAGCAAGATTGCACATGGAATTCAAGGCACCAACACAACACAAACTATTAAAATATGTATTTTTAAATTTTATAGTGTATCCATTTTTTATCAGTATTTTATAGTTTATCCATGTGTATCCTATTCCATTGTATCCATGTTCTTTCTGGGCCTATTCCAATATGCATCTTAAAATTGCATTTTCAATACTCTGGAAATACCAATACCGAAAGTTTAAACCTTGAGGAGTACCTAAGAATTGAGAAAGAACAAGAGAACTGCTCACTGATATGCACTTTGTTGTTTCACCAATGAGTAGATTGGCAAACGAGTACCTCAGATATTAATATTTCTATCTGGATTAATAAAATCTTACTTTACCTTTCAAAAAAATATATATTTCTTGCATTGTTTTAAGCAAAACAATGGAACTTTACTACACTACTTTGCAAGCCATTCAGCTTTTTTTCTGTTACTAAATTGAGGTTTAAGAAGAGCAGGATAATGGAAGCGAAAGTTGAACATATCTTCAAGTCCAAAACTATTCAGTAGTCATGTTTCAAGCTCAGTTGCAGAAATTAGCAGGGAGAACAACGAAGAAACCCCCATAACTCTGCTGTACATACATCACAATTGTATTCTAGAGTAGAAAACTTGTCCAGCATCCAAGAAAATGTCTAGTAATGATGATGCCAAAGAGTTAACAAGCCAACCGTTCTCCTTGGCTGCACCGATGGGATGGCAGATAGCCACATACCTGATGTTGATAATATCACATACCGATCTATTATACTCAAACTGCAGACCATCCTTTCCTTGGAGTTTTCTTATTTTCATGCACTAGATTTATTAAGAAACTCCCCTACGGCCATACCTGATCCTATTCCAGAACAAATTTGTCAAATACGGGCCTGTATGCCATGAACTTACACAGTCAGTTAATAAGAGCAGGTGCTAGAAGCTCAGTTGGAAAATGATCTACACTGGTGCCCTTGAGAAAGCAGATTGACACCCAGCTGAGTTGCAGCAAAAAACTCTTGTAAGTATTAATATGTACATTTGTTGTATGACTGATCATTGAATGTTAAAAAAGTGTAACCTGTGTTTCATTCTTTTCCATTACTAATTAAAAGAATAGAATCAACCATTAAATACCGAGGTAAATACAGTAAGACCCTATCACTTGCCTCCAACTTAACAAATTATGTTGTTGAATTAGGATATTTCCTAGTTTGATAAGTAATGTGGCAACCTGAAACCCATGCAGATCAGATTAAACTGCAACCCAGGCAACTATATGTGGTCAGTCGGTCACTAAGTCTTGAACTCTGGTACATGGAAAATAGGAAAGAAAAGAAATAGGTAAATGTATATCCGCCCAAAGAAAGAAAGAACAAATAAGCAATCCAAAATCATAGAAAGAAAAAGGAAACATGAGATAGATGGAGAGAGTTTAAAAATGAATTCATACAAGAGAAAAGTAAGAGCATGTTTGTTTGTTCGCTAAGTCTGATTTGAATGCCTTTGAAACTTAATAATTACTTTTGGTGGTACATTAATTATAGTTGGTGAATTTTCTTGATAATTAGATAATTCTATTTTGTTGAGTTCTAAAAAATGATAATCGACCATTATAACCCTGGATATGATAAAGTTTATTCAATTATTTAATAAATTAATGGTCATTTACTGAAACAAGCGCCCCTATAGTTTCATGGATGTACTAAAACTTACCCTATAGTTTGTGTTTTACTAAAACACCCCTTATAGTTTGCAATCAATTTACTTAAATTGACCTTCCATTAGATGATGGTGAAAATGATTGTTTTGCCCGCAATGTCCATTTGAATAAATTTAATCAGTAGAAAATAAAAATGAAAAATACCACTTTTTCTCCTATTTAGTCAATTTTATTTTCTGTATGAAGTGTTAGGAGTAATTTTGGAACAAACAATCACTGGCCCATGCCCTTTGAACATTTTCTACTCAGTTTAGGTGATCATGTTTCTATTTCCAGATGGCAAAACAAACACTTCTTAGTGAAAGTTTGATTAATTAAATAGGTTGCAAAGTATAGGAGTGTTTTAGTAAAATGAAAACTATTGGGTAGACTTAAGTAAATCTGTAAACTATGGGGGTGTTCTAGTAAATGATCCTAAATTAATTAACAATTATTTAAATTAGTATAAGATTATTAATAAATAGTAGAATTGATAGAAAGTTATAAATAATTAAATATTTTAAAAGAATTTAACTTTTAATAATTAATTATTTAATTATTAGATATTCAAATTAAATAATTACATAATTATACATTATTATATATTTCAAATAATTATAGAAGAACTAATTAATTAATTATTAATTAATTAAACTATTAATTAATTAATTAATTAAATTATTAATTATTTTAAAAAATTATTATTAAACAATATTTAATTGGCCAATAATTATTATAATATTAATTAACTTAGAAATTAATTTTGTTTTGTTGAAGTGATAATAATAATAATAATAATAATAATAATAATAATAATAATAATAATTAATGGAATAGAATAATGAACCATTATAATAATAAATAATATATGAACAATTTTATATTGTATTTACAATATCGAATTGTTGTTGTTGTTGTCATTGTTCCACATGTGAAATGGTCAAAATTGGAATTTAAATTGTTAAACATTTAAATTTGAGTATCGATGGCTATTTGTACCATTTCAGAGCATTCAGCCTTACTGGCAATCGAACACTTTAAAATGCCTCTGATTGGTAGGTCCCCTTTCAGTGCTAGGATTTAAGCACTATCAAATTGCCACGGGGAGAGAGAGAGAGAGAGAGAGAGAGAGAGGAAATTGTAGATAATGCAAAGAATTTTCAACTTATCACGAGTGGAAGGAATTTTACACTATGAAAATTTAACAGATATCGCAATATATTGTATTTAGGCCTTGTTTTTCCATAAGTTACTTAACTAGGTAAGTGCAGTTATTTGTCCTAGGAAACACGCATTTACCTATGTTCTTTTATTTCTCATGTAGATAAGCCCATGACCATTTTAGTCATAAAAATCCTTTATTAATGTATCCCTTTCAAGTGTTGGCAACTTTCCCACTATGTGGGAAAATTATTTATCCATGTAGGAGATGGGTATCACTTCCTCGGGTAAGTGGTACCTAGGAAAATAAACTTTCCCCAGTCCCCACATAAATCTGAAAAAAAAAAACATGGGATTCTTGGTTAATGGGAGCCAAAATCCCATTGACCAACTTTTCCCCCTCTCAAAATCCGAAAAAAGAACACCCCCTTAAAGGCTTTTCATTCCCTATTTTATTTTCCCCCTTTTACAAAAAATAGTAAAAACCTCTTTGGTTTTCTTACAGAACCCTACCTAAAGTTGTGTTTGTTTACAATGCAATACTATAGATTTGCATGGTACGAATGCAACCGGCTCCAGTTTAGTTGAATACAAAATGGGACTGGATTTCGAGTTTGTTTTATACTCTTTCCATTTTATATTCAATGATAGAAAAAAGTTTGATGTTTTGCAGTGTCGAAAAGGGGAGGAAGAAGAAGAATAGAGAGAGAGAGAGATTGAAGGGAAGGGAAGAAGCAGTCATTGACATTGCTTTGTTTCATTAATCGTTAGGAAGATGGTAATTGGAAAAGAGAAGAAAGAGAGGAAGAAGAAGAAGAAGTAGAGGGAAATAGAGAGAGTGAAAGAAGATTTAGAAAAAAAAAATAGGTAGAAGCAGTAGTTGCTTTGGCACAATTGGTGGTAATGGTGCTCTATTATGGTTAATTGTAGTGGTAAATAGGGAAGAAAACTTAAAAAAGAGAGCGGGAAGAAGAAGAAGATAGGGGAAGGAAATTGTTATTCTCTGATTTAGCATTTTAAGGAAGACAATGAACAATAATGGGATTTAATGGAAGAAAAGGAAGAAGAAATGGATGAAAGAGAGAGAGAGAGAGAGAAAGGAAGGGAAGCCC